CCTTGCAATATACACTTATATTAAAACTCTATGTACAGCCAATTTGAAGACCTCAATGTTTAATATTTCTTCAAAGGTTATTCATTCAAATTGTGAATTATTCTCCATTGAATAATTTCCAATTCGAAGAGAGAGAAATAGACTCTGTTGCACAAGGAAGTGGAAAAAATCTGAAAGAACAATAGAGTACTCCTTTAATCAGCCAATGAGTTTTGAGGAAAATTAATGATCAGCCTGAAACGAAACTATAAGAGAAATCACCCTTGTCAGAGCGAATCACAACTTCTGTGGAATGCTGGAGGGATGTCACTAAACAAGAAGATCCAAATCAACATAATCTTTGATACCTATGATATAGACATATTCACAATCATGGAAGCAAACATTACGGAAGACAAACTCAAACACTAACAATTCCCAGGTTACACCTTATATCTCCTACCTAAAGACCGGCAAGTTGCAAATGGAATTTTGACTGGAGTAAATGAAGGCCTTGCAACACATTGCGAACTAATCAAGAGTATAAGCTCGACCCAAGATAAATGCGAAATAATCAGGTTAAAGGTGTTTGGAAATGTCAAAACCACTTTAAGATATACGAGGTCTATAATCCACCCCAGAATAAACCCAACTTCGATCTTCTAAACATCTCACACAAAACTGTACCACTTGGAGACACCAGCGCCCATTACACCAGATGGGGCTATAGGGACATATACATAGCTGAAAAAGAAATCAAAGACACGTTTAACAGCAACCCTCTAGAAATTATTTACAGCAGTGTGGTTCCCGATACATACCTGCACTACAATGCAACCAGAAAAACTCCTGACTTGCTCCTGGCTTCAACCGACATCAGTGAGCTTACACGCCACAAAATAATTGCCGATCCTGGTTCTGGTCACAAACCAGTCATTGCTTGTATTACCATCGGCAGCAAACGCATGGCACTGAAAATGCCAACCAAGCTATTATGGAACTTCAATAAGGCCAACTGGCCTTGATTCACAAACACTGGATAAAAGCATTCATTGGACAAAGAGCATGAAAAGTCAGATATGGAAACTCTCTTTCCAAATCTAATTTTTTACAAACAGGCCTACCACAGGGAGCCGTCACAGAGTGAGACTCCAATAGACGGAACGTACTGAAGCGTCTTGCTGTTAGCATATGGGGCTGTTCACGCGCAACCCTAAACACCACTTACAAGATGGTTGTTCAACCAATAATGCTCTATTATTGTGAGCCGCTCATTACAGCTTCTGGAGTGATTCTCAAACCACTCGAGAAGACGCACAACCAAGTATTACGACTAATTACTGGAGGAATGAAATCAACATACATTGATTTAATGCTCTTGGTTACAATAAACACCGCAATACGTTTCTTTAGCAAAGAGAAGGCCTTGATCCTGGACAAATTATTCAGCACCTATGAAAATAGGCCAAGACACCTAAAAAAGCAAACCTGCTCTAATACAGAAAGCGATAGAGCTGAAAAAAGCGTTATAGATTAATGAAAGACCAAAAAGCCGCTCTCTACTCCAAAATCCTTTAGACAACACAGATGAACAGTGCTGCACCCGACTGCTTGACCATTTGAGGAAAGCAAATAAACTTTCCAGAACAAATGCGCTCACTGGCCCTTGAGACAGTCAATGTCAACTGCCCTGCAGATCAATGGCTCTAAGTCTTCACTGATGGGTCATACATAGAAAACTAAGCAAACGTTGGTGCGGGTGTCTACTCTGAACTCTCCTCTTTCTACGCAGCAGCGGGACACAATAGATCCACATTCGAGGGAGAAATAGAGGCCATTAAGATAGCGTTAGGACAATTATGTTACCTGGATACGAAATTCATCAAAGAAGTAATTCTTTCGGACTCACAGTCAGCAATAAACTCAATTGCTAACAGAGAGCCACCCAAAACAGTTGAGATATACGAATGAAAAAAACTGTATCAGCTGCTGAGACAAAAAACAAAACAGTGGTCCTACAATAGATTCATGATCACTGTGGCATTAAAGGCAATAAGCTTGCTGACGTACTTGCTAAGAAGGGGACAACAATTTTATAAGGTATAGGCAGACCGATGTCTTTCCACACAATGAAGACTTTAATCAAGAGAGAATTCAAGACATCAAAGTTCAACGAACTTAAAGTTCGAACAAAGGAGAAACAGTGGACGGCACTCCCCGACATAGCCGACTGACCAAGAATTGAAGCTGAGGTACGATTGCCTGGCGAAGCACCTTTACAGAATAGGAGTATACACTTAGTCAACATGCTTTTTATGTGACCTGGAGGAGGAAATGGAGAAGACCCACCTGATTCGGTATCCAGCTGAAATGGAGAAGACCCACCTGATTCGGTATCCAGCTCTAAAGAGAATGACAGAAACCCAGAGATACTTGAAATCTAGGAAACAACTAATGAACTACTGTTGACTGTCCTAAATATCTGTTCCTACCCCCCCCCCCCCACCTTGTGAAATCTGAAGTCAACCAAGGAGATTATGATAAATTTCATAAGGCCTGGCATTTGAAATAATAATATTAATAGAATTATATCGATTTTTCTCCCTCTCTTACGCTTCATTTCTTGTCCCTATATTGGATTAATTTGCTGTCTTCAATCAAGATCGAGATGTTCTCAATTCTTTGCAGAAATCATACTACCTTAATATAGCTATTTCTTATCTGTACTTTAAAAGTGTTTTCATTTCCGAACCGACTTTTAAAGGAAGATAAGTTTGAGTTAGAATTTACGACTATATCACATCAATACCAATGGTATCCTAGAGGCCATTGGAAGGTACAAATTCTTGAATTCGACTTCCAAATTTAGATGAGTTCAAGGTTAAAGTGTAAATAAACATTCTAGAAATTATCTACTCTCTTAAGTCAGCCATTCTCATTCCTTTATACTTTTTAGTTGAACAGAATATGCTTAACATTCTTTTAGGCTCCAACTGGATGCCTGCTTTCTCCGTGCAGTCAGAAACCTGACGAAGGACTCGAAGGTTCGAGCATTAAAGTAAGGTGGACTGAAATTTCTACTTCTTCAATATTTTCTTCACATTTATAATTCATTGATATGTGAGAATTTCATCATTAATAGCTCCAATGGTCATAAAATAAATTTCAAATATTTTGAAAAATCAACTATGCCCAGATCTATAACAACTTCACACTTTTGCAATGACTGCTAATTTCATTAAAAGGAAAGGTCATTTTTGTAAATTTATATGGCAAAATTCCAAAGTATGTTACAAACAGTTTCAATGGCAAAGAGGGCTTCTGTTGGAAAGTTTTATTATTATTATTACTTCAAATGGCAGGCGTTTTGAATATTTATCATTAGCCATTTAGCTGACTTTGGACTTCGCAGAGGGAGGAATATTAAAGTGAGAACAATTCGGGAGGGGGAACAGAAGAGTGATTCACAGATGTAGAGGAGACAGACAGACACAAAGGCAGAGAAAAGGTGAGATGAGTACTGTGGAAGCTGTGTAATATGACATACAGTGGGGTGATGGTAGTTTGAAGTCAGAAGTCAGCTGCCGGTTAATAGACTTTTTTGCCATATGAGTATACGTTGCCCAGAGTGCACCACGTGGAGGTAAGTCTATCGCACACCCCTCTGTTGGAAAGTAATGACCAAACCAGTGCGTTGATGCCTTATAAACCCATAAATTATAACAATACTAAATTTTATCAAATAATTGATGGATTAAAGAGTTAGTCTTTTAAAATTCGTAAAAGGTTGACAGAATTCAGAAAATTCCGACTAATGACTCTTATTGTAACTATTAGGGAAATTTCATTATAATTAAATTTAAAATGAACGGTCGGGTGTTGCCGTACAATAACATCTGTTTTTTTCAAAAGTAGAGACAATTATTTTCAATAAAGGTTGCTTTTTAAAACGAATGTCTTTTTTGTCGTGGCTTATCTTAGGAAAAATGACCGCACGCATTCGTAATTGGTGGTCTTAACTAGGTGTTTAAATACGATTATAACTGAAACCATCACAAGGCAAAATGCACCCATACCTGCATAGAGCATAGTAAAAATGATATTTATGTATATTGGTCTAGGAATTGGGACCTATATTATCTTAAATGCTAATCTAATTTTAAGTTTAAAATAAAGAGGAGGTAATTTGGAAAATGGTTTCTGTATGCCTATTTGACCAAAAGAAAAATTAGTATAAACCACCTCTTATAATACCTACAAAGTCGCTCTTCATTAAAGTTCATAAACTTCAAAATGTACTAAATTTCAACTCCAAAAGTATTAGTTATTTTTACTTTAAAGTTAGATTTTTTCAATTCTTTTAATTCTTCTAGTTTGCACTTACAAAATACGCAAATTTGTTGTCCTTTACTTTTATTACATGAGTAATAAAACTGTTCTAAAGTCACGAAAGTTGAACAATAGGCGAGGAACTGTTGGCGGAAATAATGTCTCAAACAATAGGGAAATTAAATATTTAAAATTTAATGACCGAAATAAACCGAGGGGCATTAAACACAATACATGCACTTTAAGAGGATATAGATTCGATTCTAATGAAATTTGAAAAGACCACTTTATCCTCTCATACTGCACGTGAGGAGTGGTAAATCCATTAAAAAGCCTTAAAACGGACTATTTAAGTGAAAAACTTATAAATAAACTTTGAGACATGTCTGGCTTGAGTTCAGCTAATAATTACATTTTTTAATGAGCTTCAATGCGCACCCTAAATAGGTGGGAGAACAGACTCAAAAAATTTGCATTTAATCATAGCAAAGATTCGTCACCAAAAGTAGTCATGTATATATGGGCTAATTATACGCCAATGTAGCAAGCACTCCACACACGCACAAATTGAGTACACGTTCATTTAAAACGAAGCAATGAATTCGGACACAGTAAACGCACGGGGTGTCTGATGCCCCAACGATGTCTCATAAAAATCATTCCTACATACATTTCTATTCTCGCTATCCTCAAATCTGAAAAGGAATAACGGTCATTCTTTATTTTCAGGCGCGAACATCCTGCAATTCTAACTCAACTAGGGCAGGGAAATTTAAAACTTCATTTTCCATACGCTTCAAAAATGGCCTAAAATTCCTCGAAATTCCATGAATTACTGAGAATCATGTTGATGCTCCAAATCTGGATGGATAGCCCTTATAGTTTTAAATCCCAAAATTTCAGAATGCATCCCTTCATATGCAATGACATCACATGATCTTAATGATAATGGTTTTCCAATAAGGAAGTAAGGTAAATCCAATTAACAATAAAATATATTCAGCAAAATTTAAATACACTAAGTACGCATGTGAATCAACCTTCATTACTAAAGCAGAATACATAGTAGGCAAAGCGGAGGTGTTGGGTAAATTAGGAATTTTCATAAAAAACACAGGGGGTATTTTCAAACCCCTTAATTGACCTCACATCTGATATATATTTGCAAGTTGACAAAGGAAAATCAGATCTGATCATAGTTATTACTACGTACTAATAACACTACATTAGAATTTACGCTTATTTAGTCGATGCAGCGCATATTCTGTTCACAAAGAATTGCCATGAGGCATTTTGCTGTATTAAATACGACTCATTAACACCAAGTCTTAAACATATACGATTCTAATGATCCTCAATTGAATCCCGATTACACCACTCAGGATTTTTAACTTCATGAAAAAAACAGCGTAACTTGAATGACAACATTTGTGAAATTTGTTAAATAAGAACATTGTTAACACAGTTTTAGAGTCAAACATTAAGTTAAAAAACTCCTAAATGGCAGTCTATGCATCGAAAATCAATTCTTTTAAACTAATCAGAATAATTGAATGCATAAATTATTTTTCAGGTAATACTTTTGAAATAATGCTGAATGAGTTAATATGCATTTTCAACCCCATAATAAAATAAAAAGTATTAGGTAAGATAGTGAAGTATCGTCATATCATTAACCTCGAATGTATTTTTTCAACTTCTACATGATTAATTTAACCTTTTTTCAATGTGAATATAAAAATGGAGGCTAACTAACTCTAACAATTTTTTATTTCAAAAATAATGGAGTTGATTTATGATGGCTCAAATTATTCCTTTCTTTAAATTGACAAATTAACTTTTAAGGCACACTAACTAAAGAGGCTAATAGTATGAAGATCAGTTTCAGCACATTTGACACTTGAAATTAGATAACTTTTGATCATGACCAGTGAAAGCTGAAAGTCAGTTAGTATTTGCCCTGATCATTTTAAATTAAATCGCAAGTTGACAAAAAATTTTTTTATCTCAAATGGCAAGCGTTTTGATGGTTATCATTAACCCTTTAGGTGACTTCAGGCTTTACAGAGGGGAAGGAACATCAAAGTGAAAAAATGTCTATTTGGGGGAGGGGGGGACAGAAGTGTTTCAAGGAAGTAAAAGAGACAGGCACAAAGGTAGTGAATAATGTGAGGTGAGTACTGTGGAAGTGGTCGAATACGACATAGAGTTTAGGGAAATTTTTTGCCTTATGAGTATACTTTGCCCAGGTTACACCACGTGGAGGCAAATCTCTCGCACACCCCACGGTTGACTCAAAATAAGTAGTTTGTGTAGCCCTGTGTTAATTTTTTTCTGCATCGTTTGAGAAAATTAAAAAATTCCAATGCACCACTTAAGCCCCTCTCATAGTTCATCATTTGAATCAGGTCCACCGGATTTCTTATTATAAGAAATTCACTTTCTCCCTGTTCAAAGATCCACTGTTGAACATTTAGCAATGCTCAATTGCGTTCAGTAACTCGTTGAATTTACGCTAATTTTTCCTACTGATTTGACCATGACTATTTGCCCGCCCCATTGATGACCCTTTGCTTCATTTATGAGTATAAATATTTTATACTTCAAAAAAACCACGTAAGTAGTGATAATTTCGAATGGACTTTTCGCAGGATCTTCTGTTTGGTGAGTACTAGTGAGAACTAAGCTTGTGATCTCTGGTTTTGTAAGTGAGTGTATTAATTAACGTGAAATTTGTTCAAGGCGGTACATAGTATCTCAACATAGCATACGATTATAATATAACTAAGTTTCTAAAAGCCTTTACTTTAAGTTAGTACCTTCTTCTTTGCAAATTAGGTTTTAATGATACTATTGAGTCCTTATTCTTGTTGGAAAATTGATAGCATTTGTAAGTAGTTTCTAGCAGAATTCTAACAAGCCTTACATGGACTTATTTGCAGCTGCCTAATTAGTACTACAGTTCTTTTTAGTTTTCATTGTATTACGTTTGAAAAAAAAATCTGTCTGAATTTGAACTTTCACGTTCACAGCAATCAAACATAGTACTCTTCACATCTCATTGGTTACTCACCAGGACCAATAAATGATAAGACTTATTCTCTTGTTGGTAGGTCAATTTCTCAACCATCTAGAAATAAATGTATTTCTTCTGCATATTAGCAACTGCAAAGTATCCTTATGTAACTGCACATACATAGGAAAAAAAGAGACTAAAAGGAAACAGAGAAGGGACGAAGCACTTACACAGCGCTTGAGAATGTTTACAAAATAAGCAAAGGTGAGGGAATAGGACTGAAAGCAAATGGAACAGCACATTTAGCTATGCTGATTGAAGTAATACGCAGGATAGGATATAAGTAAAACTGTAAGATAGGAATGCTTAGGATGAACAACCAAAACACCTAATGGATATGCAAAGCAGCATAGACAGGAGAAGCAACTTGAAATCGTTGATGGGACAAACCTACGACAGGAGGCATTGACTGTCTATAAAAGTGGGTATGATAGACTGGGATCATGGCATGGTGTTCTTGCATATGGTATGGATGCTGTGGATTCATTAGCATAGAGGTTGCCATAAGGGCTCGGTCTCTTCGACTTAAATGGTGGTGGGAATGCGGGTGGGGATTATATTGATGGGAGTGCTGACGGAGTACTACACCGCTAGTAGTGCCACTTATTGCTCCAACAGAGGTCTGACGAGCATGGACTTGGGAATGTTGACGAGCCACTGGTGCAACAGAATTGGACTGTCTCGGTGTTTGAGCGTGAGCTTGAACAGTGTAGATTACTGTGGAAGCAGTGCTCGCACAGGCACAGCAATGAGTTGGATGTTTGGACGGAGGCCTACTGCATCTCACTTCAACGGTGGAATCGCCTTGAAAATAGAAAGATTTGAGATTTTAAAATGCAGCATAAATGCACTCAGATGCTTATATGTCTCACAATCATTTACAAGGACAAAAAAATTTTCAATAGGGTTATAAAACTCCTCAGGCATAAAGGTATTGCGCTCTAACATTTTTGTAGTGCACAGGGTAGATTCAGTTACATCTTCATGACTATAACAAGACTCACATAAGCCAACATTTCAATATCAACCACTTAATTTAAACAGCAAACAACATCATGAATCCGGATGCGTATCCTCAAGGTAACTTTATAGTCTTTCCCTTGCATTCGGAGGATAAAAATGTATATCTAATTTTATTAAGGAACAGTGGGAACTTATAAAATATTCTGAGCTAACAATTTTGATAGCTAAAGGAGTCTGTGGGGTAAAAATCACTAATTTCGCAAGTTATGCTTGGAGCCTTCCATGTTGAGCCTTTGAGTTATTACAAACACAGATTTCCCCTCCTATGACCAAACCACTTTGAACCCGAGTTATAGTCAGTTGATGAAAAGCAACTTTACTGTAACATAGATGACAAAAAGATGACAATTAATGCAAAGAATAGAAACTGAACACAACCACGCATCAATTTTAGAATATGGAAAAACTACTCAACATGCACTAAAAAGGAAACACTAGCACATTTCATCCGGAATTCAAATGAAGTAGCCATTTGAAGACGTGATTTAATTCCCTACACTCACTCAGTCTCACTAATTCACTCTTTTGTGCTGCACCCAATGTTTAAAACAGTTTTGCATTTACAATCATCTGAATTTATTTTGTCATCCCATGAGTAATACGAATACGTACGTCAGTCAAAGACTAGCGGTGGAACGCACTTTTCATCGATTTAAACTTTGCCTCCTGATTGTATGAGTGGATATTTTTGTAGGCACTTTAAGTTTAATAAATTTATCATTGGACAATTGATTGGCTAGTTTTCTATTGGTCAGAGAGCAACGGTGCAGTTTAGCTTACTTAAACGCATTTCCAACGGAAAAGAAGAGGGGAAGAAGGGATTTTCGCAGCTTCGAAAGGAATAAAAACTCCGTAAAACTAATTAAAGTGATTACTTGTAAACTAATTTAGATAGGAAAAAACTATAATCAGCACCAAAAATACGCTAAATTTGAAAATTTTAAAATTGGAGAGAAATGTGGGTTTAGCAAGTTGGGGATGGGTTAGTGATCCTCATTTTTAGTCTACTGAAAATACATCAAAAATTGTAAACTGATTTCAAATATAATACAACAGGGTTATATTCTTCTACGGAAGAAAGCAAGCAGATAACAAGGGTAGTAACTGAATTGAATAACGTGTTTCAAATCTATTTATTTATCAAAATTAGTTTATAATTAGAAGAGCTCATTCACAGCAAATTCATCTGACCTCTATTCCTTGGAATATCCATGTTAATCTCGTCCATCTGAAAGCATGTGGTAGAGAAAGTTTGGAGGCCAAACATCTGAATTGGTGTGGGGGTAAAAATTGACTGCCAAACATTTTTCACTTTTTTCTGGGGTGCGGTAAGTGGATGAATCCTTGTGCCAAACACAGCCTATTTTGGCTACCCTTCCTATACAGGACTTAATTTCAACAGCGGTCAACAATTCCCCGCCGAAGCCCTTGAAAAAGTGAACGGCGATATGGCATCACCATTCGACGAGGGAGAAAACGCATGCAAAAACCAAAATACTTAAGAAAATAAAGTATTCACAATACGAAGAGTCTTTTATTAGACTCTAAGTAAGCCATTTATCATTCTGCAAGTGCTTTTAAAGTTTTTTTTCTCATTTGAAATGAACCAGATTGATTGTAAGTGCTTTATCAGGTTGGCCAACTTTACTCAGAAGTTTCTTCACCACTGTCTGGCGATTTTCAAGAACCCCTTCAAAGAGAATTTGACCCCGGCAACACTTGGAGAATTTATACCATTTTGTCAAATTCAATTCCATTTTCATTCTCCTTCGATTCCCATATTCACTTGACCACAACAGCACCATTTTTTACCGTTTCCTTGTGGTTACTAATGGCGTTCTTTTTCATGCACAAAATCAATTTTTTATAAGACATTCCTGGCAGTCGTTTAGACAAATTTTAGATTCATTAAACGGAAATTTTGCTTTCGGGAATTTCTTGCACTTTTATGACCGAATGGGCAAGTGCGGGCAGCCAGTATTTTCCATTTGGCAAATAAATATGAAGGGAGAGTAGACTTACTCGGAGATGGTGGAGCAAGCTATTTGAGGAGTGATTGGCCAAAAACAAGTCAACTGACAGTGTTAGAACGCATTAGCCATGGGCATTTATGGCAAGAAGTTAAGCTTTTTACCAACATCTAAATCTTTTAGAAGCAAAATACCTGACAGGTGAGATATCTTCAACAGGGATCCTTACCTTACTGGGCAAAAGAAAGACATTTTTCATTCTTCAAAGGCATTTTATTCGAGATATGCCCCCTGTTGAAGAAGCATGCTTTTACTAACAGACGATTAGGTATCAAACGACATTTAAAGGACGTAAATTCGGGTTTATCGTACCGAGATCCATGTTTGATGATGCAAATTCAAAAAATAAAATCAGTAAATGACAATGACTTTATCTGTTCAGGATAGTATCAAATTTCAGTCTTTATGACCGCTAAACTTGTACCAAACTTTACACAAATTGCTGCTATGTTGGAACATTTTAACGGCGTTTAGCTTTTAAAACTTCTGGAAATCGCATTCAAGTAAAAAAAGTGCTATTCGAACTAGACCGCTAGAGCAAATTTTAAGCCAGTAACATTATTTTTTGCTGATTTACATTCGACATGAAAGAGGTGAGTAGTGAATAGATTGAATTTAAAACTAAGTCAAATTTGATTTGCACAATTAAAGCACTTCAACAAGTAAGACCTTCTTATTCACGAAATAGTTCAAGACGTGCCAAGTATTCATTCCCAAATCGAGACTGGTTCATAAAGCACGTTTAAGCTCCATTGGCAAATATGGTTGCTAGTTAGTTCAAGTATTATCACAAACTTAAAGTCTTTAGGGTTCTCCTACCAAGTCGCAAATGACTATTAAGATCATAAAGTCTTTTCAATTCATGTTTTAAGTAAACTTCAGCACTTAAAGATTCCGTAATGTTATAGAAACACAAGTCTTTCATGAATGATTTGAGAAATGCCACTACTCACCCCTCCCCTCCAGTGAGGTGTTATTCCAATTGTTTCCCCAAAGTCAAATTTGCATACGTGAAGATTAAAAAATATGTTCATTTCTTTTGAAATGATTATGATGAAAATTCTATATTACATGGTGTAAATACATTAAATAGCACAATTTTTGCAAAATGAAGCTCAGTTTTTATGTTTTTTCAAAATATTGTCTCTCGTGTGAATAATAAAGTAAAATATTTATAATTCAATATCTCGTGATGCGTGAAAGAGGTAATAAACCAATTATATAATTATTTACAAAAAACGAGGGCACGTAAATGCTTATCATTACCCACAGTAAAACAATGCCATTTGAAATTAGTACCATAGATATGGTATAAATATTTTTTATTTCAATAACGGTTAACAATTCGCGATCATATATAGGATCGTTTTTGCGTAGAGCGTGGATTCATAAAACTTCCCTCGTGAAAGACACAAATTTACCAATTCTCTAAAAAACAGCCTTACTTAAACAGAGTGGTTAGTTATTCCACTCTCAAGGTGAACGCAGATGGAAATCGGTCCCGTAATTTCTAATATGGTAGACGCGCATATTGATCAGCATCATTATCAGGTATCCCCGTGTCCACAAGTTACGGGTCTGACTGATGAAATTGAGAGGGAATTTCAATGAGAAAATCAATAAAGTATTTGGATTTTTACAAATTTATCTAGCATTAATTGAGACGAGTTAAGTACGACGAAATTCTCCGTCCTAATAATATCTCAAAACATCCAAGCTCATGTCCAATATTTCTGAGGCCTATCTATTGGTAAAAAAAAATTTTAATTGCAAAATTGTGGCAAAATTACTGTTACATTTCATTTTTGCACAAAAAGTAGACAAAAAGTAGTAGAGTGATGCAATATGGAGAATAATAGTTGCATACTTCGAAATGCAAGTTTGAATGTACGTCGAATTTGGGACTGTTTAAGACGAGTGTAGCATACTTGTAGAACTCCTTTCAATGATGACAACTCTGAGAAATGAAACTTTTAATAAAAGATATATACAGACTGTTGCAAAATGGCACAGCTCTCTTTTAAAACAACCGAATTAATTACCTTAGCTATTGCTCTATACGTCATCACAAGTTTGAGCCACAAAATCGTGTGTTCTTTGTGGAAATACCTCATTGTTTTGTTACTTCTAGTTAGTTTTATGAATGGAAAATACTCAATTAAACATTGTTTAAAGTCATAATAACTGGTATGTGAGTATCCGTTTTATATATATTTCATTAGTAAATAAAAAAATTAATGCATTAACCACTGAAAATTATAATCAATTAAAATCAAGAAGTTTCTTATGTGCTCATGGTAAGTTGAAAAGATATTCAGTTTGCGTTACAGAATTCTTCCGAAAGTGGAATACGTTTAGGTGATCATTAAGTGTGTTAATCTGCAGTGTACGTTGCTGAGATGTTAATTTTCTTTATTACTATATAATTAGTTATATCAAGGCAACAGTGCATTTCAAACAAAATTGTCCATTTAGAGGCGATAACTTGAAAAAGAAGTTCAAGAGTAGTCAGATAACGAACGATTAAGCAGTCCATATTCACATAATGGGTACATTTCAAAGTGTAATTTTCCGATGTGCCAATTTCATATTACTTTCAAACTTGATAACCAGTTATTTTGATTTGGGAATTTGACAAGCTATTCGATTGGCTACTAACATAATCATACCCATTGTTACAATAAATCGATAAACCATAATTAAATATAACCTGGCTTATTTATTAATGATGTTTGTTTTGAATTTTTTTTACTCTTTGCTCATATAAAATGTGTGCATGCATTAACTTCTAAGGAAAATGCATTTAAATACTTTTCTAGGGGGAAAAACACAATTTCAAAAATATGAAATGATTTCCAGCGTTGCTAAGGGGGAAAATTTCCCACTTTATCGACT